AGGCTGGGTTTAGAAGGGGTCGTGGTACTAGGGATATCGTTGCTGATGTTAGATGGATCTTGGCTGAAAGCAGGGAATACCAGAAGAATGTGTATCTGTGTTTCATTGATTATGCAAAGGCATTTGACTGTGTGGATCATAACAAACTGTGGCTAAATACATACCTCAAAAAAATCCAGAAGTAAATTTTTCAGAATCTAACGGTAGATACGTCTTAATTGTTTTTTAAATATTACTAATACTTATCCATAGCTTTGCTTTTCTTATAATGAAACTAACACACTGGCATTGTAAGGTGAAAAATTTCAGGAAATGCAGTATCATCTGAATTAGAAAATATCCTTCACTGCTTGTAGATAACAGCATAACATCTCATCGAGTTAGTAACTATAGACTCAGTTCCTGGTCTTGTGGCTGGAACTGATGCATAGGTGACCTCCCACTGAGTTTCTGGAGCTGCAAATTGCACAGGAGACGATTTCCCATCCTTCTCCCAAGGAGCCTCTGGTGAATTCCAACTGTCAGGGAGAAGTCACCATTGGGTTAACAGCACAGATCCCTGCAGATTACACCTCTAAATCTCCCTTCAATAAAATAGATCCTCAAATCTACATTATCACTTTTAATAGCTACCTAAAATTCTATTAAATACATATATTACACTTTAATGAATATTTTATTTTCATGTTTCTTTTTTTTTGTCTACTGTAAAGGAACAGTTTAGCTATAAGTATCATCTGTATACTCTTTGTGGTCTTGTTGAATTATTCTTAAAATAAATTGCTAGAGTAAAATAGATGAAATTGGAATTTTATTTTGTGCATTCTTTAAAATATATTCTTTAAAAAGATAGAGAATTACTTTGTTTGAAATACTAATTGCTCAAAGATATGAATAGAAAAATGTTTTGCTCTATTGTATTTCTAAAGTTATTTTATCCTGCATTCATATTTCCTGGTTATTTAAAAATAGGTTTAATTTTTGTTCCAATAAAATTATTCTGATTTTCTTAAACAGAATTGGAAAATATTCCTTATATAAAAGTAAAAACACCCACAATAATAGACAGTGCTACACTTCAATCATTTTACCTACGGAAGGATAATAAGTATTCTAAGAATCTTGGGATATATAAACACAATTTTTTTTCAAAGAGCTATATTTTTTATGGATATAGATGTAAAAATATTCAACAAAATTTTAGCCAACAGAATGAAACACTGTATGAGAAAAATCATACACCATGATCAAGTGAGAGTCACACTAAGAATGCAAGGGTGTATAACCACAATTTTGATGTCATGTCTTTTTGTTTTCTGTCTCTGTAGGCCCAATGCCATGAAATGCGTCAGAATTATTCAGGTGCACTAGAGACTGTGAACCAGATAATTGTGAAATTTCCAAGCTTTCTTCCTGCTTTTATAAAGAAAATGAAATTACAGCTAGCCTTACTGGATTGGGACCAGACAGTTGAAACAGCACAAAGGTTAAGTATGTTAGAAAGTTTAAAGTGCTATGGTGAAATATTAATACCACCACCAGCTAA